TATATATATATATATATATATATATATATATATCATCTGCAGCGCACAACAGCTCAATTTCTATATGTGGATGTTGAGAATATGAGAACATATTTGTTTTGTTCTTAATACTGATTAACTGTTGCAATGCGAGAGTGCAAATGTTATGACTGGATGTGTTTGAACATTTTTTTGTCAGTGTAACTCTACGGTTTGTATTTTCCAGACTTTTTAAAATAAATTATTCATATGTATGTAATACATATTTTTTTTTATATTTTTCCATCCAGAGAGGAAAGCAGATAAGTGCTTGAGTTTTATTGCTGAAAACAGAACGGTGCAAACTGTCTTTTATCTTGTAATCCCGCTGCCTTTCAGCCAAGTTTCAATCCAGCTGACGTGCCTGTAGTAAAAAAATATGTTTCCGACTAAAGAGAACACATGCTGCTCACACTCTGCTTGATTTTGAGTTAACTTTGACCCTAAAAAGAATAATACCTGGATCATTCAGCGGGGCCAGCTGTCTGCAGTGGCGTATATTTAGAGATTAGACAGTTGCAGGTTCTCTGCCAGTTCCCCCATTTGAAATTGGTTTTTGTGTCTACACAGAGAAAAGAAGTGTGCCATCTCCAGACACCAGCCCATTCATCTCTATACAGAGCTGCTCTCTTGAGATAAAGGCTGGAAGTAGTTTCTGAGGAGGAACTCATTGCATGAATCATTTCTTGCCTTTCAAATTCATTGCATCTTCTTATGGAGACTGCAATTGTAGCCCACTGGGAGCTATGAGCTTTAATGCATATGACGACAAAGAAAGCCACTTCAGAGGAAAGTATCTCACATGAGTGTGTTGGTCATGCTGCTCTGTGAGTACCATTCAATTTGAGGTGAAATTGTCCCTTTAATAATGTATTTTTAGACACCCAGTCCTCTCCATCCTTCCTGTAGCTGCCCTATAGCTGCTGACACCAGGGATATCTCAGCGCAGACCACAGAATTGATCTACACATCCAGCTGAGGAGAAACAGGATTTAAGATGCATGGAGAAAAGATTGGCCGTCTTTCTTTGAACTTAATCTGCAGGGCTACACAAACTGGCCATAAAGCAAAGCTTTATGACACCCGGAGAGATGTGCTTCATCGGTTTTTCCATAACCACCCTGACACACAAAGCTGCAAGTGGCCTGAGTCAGCCGTCAGCTAATTACCCATTTCTTTGCACTCAATACCGGCAACCTCTTTCTGTCTCCTTAACTGTGCTGACAAGTTTAGGTCTTGTCAATATGGGCAACAAATATGAGGTGCATGCTGCTATTGGGAAATGCAAAATAGCACACTGTTAATCTCCACCAGGGGTTCCTAAACTGTTTTGTTAGACTCACCCCAAAGCCCTTTCAGATGTACTCAAGCACCTCTTCATTGAGACATCTTAAATACTATCCATTACTTTTAACTAGCTCTTTTAACTGTTTATCCAACACTTTAAGCTCATTATTTATCCATTTCCTTTAGCTACTTTCAGCTAACTTTTTAGACTTTTACCACCATACTTACGCAAAACAAAATGATAAACTACACATTTTGTGAACTTTGTTAGCAGGTCAGAGGAGGAAGATCACAATCAAGCTGAAAGACTTATGGTTCAAAGCTTGAGTGGACAAGAATGTCCACCGCTATGTGCACTCTTATCTACAGTGTAAACAACCGCAATTCCTGCAGGGAATAACATGAATATAGCAACTAATATTGAGTTTATTCGACTCAAGACACCACCTACACATCATTTCTTTTCATTATTTCACACAATGCAATAGCTAAAAAAGAAAGTAACAACCACTGGTTCCTATGAAACAAATTCCACCTGCTATTAAAATTCAAAACAGATGAATATTACAGGCTTCAGATCACCGGTATGAAGGAGGACAGACACAGTTTGAACCAGCTTCCAACTACGTTTTGATAAGCACCTTCTTGACCTTCCAGCACCACTGTTGTGTCAGTCAAATAAGCTTGATCACGTAAATCCCCCCTCTACTCTGCCCTGACACCTGTCTGTAATAACCAGCCTTAACCATTCGCTGCTCATAATGAGATGTGGGAGCGAAGGAGGTTGTGAGACGTCCTTGGTTTTGCTCCTGCAGCTGCAGGTGTGTCATGCAGGTTCATTATCTCACAGTCGATTCTTCACGGTCCTTATCTGGGCAAGCTGCCAGAAAGTCGTCAAATTATGAGCTCTCTCTCCGTCAACGCTGACACATAGCCGCATGCTTTGATCAAAATCAATGTCATCCCCTGTGCACGTGAGCACACATAAACATGCGTATGTTCATGCAGTTTAATGGAGGTATGGCAACATGATGACAAAGGTGACACCCAGCAGCAGAGAGGCAGAGGACCATTTCTGACGCTCTGTGCGCTCCACAAATTGCCCACCTTATAGGAGAGCATTGATTTAAAAAAATGTCATTGAGAAGAGCACACAGCATATTGACAATCCATAAAATGACTTGTGAAAAATCCTGTTAATGACCAGAGAAACATCACCTATTCCTATTTTGTACCAGACTTACATCACTTAAAGATAGCTTTTCACAGCACACAATATATATAATTTCTCTCCGTCTCTTAAGTGCTGAGAGCTACTGTAGGTTGGCTGTAATTTCCACAAGCTAAGTGCATGCATTGTATCATAGGCCTATCTGAATGTTTTCTATAAAAAGGCTTAAAGACGATGAGACAATACATTGAGCGCTCCTGAAATTTAAGCTCAGCACATTTTCCTCTATTGACACGACCATTGAAATCCCAGTGGCACTGGCACCAACAGGTTGCATTTTTCACTCAGCCAGATATGTCCTTTATGGAGAGATTAAGGAGCATTTAAGACTGAATGAAACCACTTTGAGCCACAGTATCTTTATTACTGCAGCCACACAGGCTCTGAGCAGACATCAGCCTCTGTCACACCCATCATTCAAATGCTGTTATTTCCCCCCCATGCACACATAAACCCTCCATATGCACCCCTGGTCTTCAGAGGCCATCTTTACATCTCTGTCTCTGGTCTCTCCCTCTTAACTTAACTTTTTTTTTTTTTTTAATAAGAGTGTGTCTGTGATATCTTTTGTGGTGAAAGTTGCATTTTAAAGACATCTCTCCCCACCATTTGTTTCCAGCACAAGTTCACTCACAGTTTATTTATTTTGTTTTCCACTGATCCTAATAAGGGGCTTTCACAGCGAACATCAAAAGGCCAGCTGGCCATGCTGCATCTTGGGTAGAGCTCCTCAAGGTAAATGCAAGCAGGCTCCCTCCTCCGTCAAACTTAGCACCGTCAGCATTATCACACACACTGCAGTTTAAAAAGACACCAGTGAACCTCAACAAGTATTTCATCAGCGAATAAGCTTCAACAACAGCAATACATTAAAGCACCATATGCATGTATTATTGGGGTCGGAGCCCCCTCTTAACTGTCAGCAGGATCTAAATCATGGCTTTACATCTTTACAATAATTAAATACTCAAAGGATCTTGTCCTTTATCGTCCTATTGGGCGGAAAACAGTCCACGAGGGCTTATGGTGAATGTTTAACTACTGTAATACTGCCAAGTAATTAGGCATTTTAAAATCTGATATAATAGGCAGTAGACGGTTCTAATTTTAAAATGTGTCTACAGCTTATGAAGTGTCTGGCCTATTTTGAGATTTTTTTTCCCATGATGCACAATGAAGCAGTCATAGGAGGTCTGGCAAGAGAGAGAAAATTGCGCATCAGGTATGAGGCGTGTAACAATAGGCTCCTTCTGAGGCTCCTCAGATGGTAAATAACCAATTAACTAATATTCACAGTTTACAGTGGAAAAAATACTGTGAGGAACTTGTAACTGGTTATCTCAGTTCAATACTGTTGCCATCGGACCATCAGCATCGCTACCCCTCCAGTGGGAGGTGGCCCCATGTGTCAGATGTGTACGAGTTGCAGTTCCAAAAGAGACATTTCCCCTCTACACTTCACAAATGGTTTAATTACAATAACTGTTTATCTTGTGACCCTTTGGAGGGGCCTGGACTAAACTACGCTACACTGGCCTGTATAAGATATAGTTCAAGTGCTATAATCAATATTTTTTTATAAAAACAATCAAATGACGAAGTGAATGGGGTCTTTGGAAAATGATCACCTAAATATGCAGCTACCCTCATCTTTACATCGCTTTATAGCAAGTTTCAGCTCATTGTTTAGCAGTTCAGCCCACAACCTTTTGTAGTTCAGTTCACTCTCCCTCAGCTTGAGTTGTAAATCATCTCATATGATGCTACTCATCCAATCAAATATGTTTATTCCAATAAGCATCGCAACTCGAATGAGAAATACACATAAAAGGGAAGAGACAGGGGGCGAGAGACAGAATAGTCGGAAAAGTGGTGCTCGAAAAAGATTAAAGTGGACAACGACACCAGAGCCTTTAACCAAGAATGGACAGAATGTTATATGTTCATTCTTCCCACGGGCAGTTCAAAACCAGAGTGTCTCATATGTTAAGAGATCGTGACAATTATTAAAAGCAAAGCACAAATTGTACCCACTCAAATCTGAAATGAAGGCACAGAAAATAAACAATCTAAGAGTCCAATATGATTAATCAACTAGATTCCCAACACATTAATCCACTGCCCAACAATGATGTGAACAGAGCGGAGACTATAGCTGAAACAAGTGGTTTCCATAACCACAGATATAGTCTGTTATGGTTTATATTGGTTATGACTTATATTAAAAATCAATACCTAACGGCTGATTTAATAACTGTTTGCTATCTGACTCGTGGTGAGATGCCACAGAAACTCACTAAAAGGAACTCAGCAACAAACACCCACAGAACACAAGAGAGATTGAAGTTTCTTCAGTT